GAAAAATGAAACACTGTTCTCATCTATTCTATTGCTAATAACAGAAAACACCTGAGTCTGAGTAACTTAAGAGAAAATAAATTTTTTTCAGCTCATGGTTTGGAAGCCCAGGGACCAGGAACCACCTCTGTTGGAGGTCTTCTGGCTGAATCACAACATGGCAGAATGCATGTTCTGTGTTCCATGTGTCTCTCCCAGTCTAATTCCTTCTCCTTGTAAACCCCCATAAACCAATCATAGGGTCCCTAATGTAACCACTTTATCACTCCCAAAGGACTTACCTTTCTACACCATGAGGGCATTAAGTTTCCTATTAATACCTCCACAATCAAATCTGGACACATGAATTCTGGGCAGGGTACAAACCATAGCAACTACTAATGGTAGAAAGTCAAAAATACGGAAACTAGGTGAAGGTATTTTAGGACAAGTGGTCTTTTAACCAGGACCCTTTCAGACATGTTGCCAATCTAAGACCTTTTTTGTCCATACTTGAACATCACACCATAGGTACAAATAAATCCACAACACCGTCAGTTCCATTCATGAATCTCTTTTTTTTTTTTCTTTTTTGGAGATATTTTCGCTATAGGGTGCGTGCACTCGCCAGACAGACAGAGAGAGACATAGAGATAGAAAGCGAGAAATCACCCCCCAGGGGGGATGGTCACGCCACAATCCCTTCTCCTCCATTCTCCTCTCGGGATCTTGGGCACGCACGCACACGCACCTGGCATGAGTTTTAAGCCACCGGGTCCAGGACGTGAACCGCGGTTGACTACGTGGGAGTCCAGCGACATAGCCATTACGCTAACTGCTGGTTCCCCATTCCTGAATCTCTTCAGCAACCTTCTCTCTTTTCCCTTCCTACCCCAACCCCGATCACTAGCTTCTGCTTAATTTCATTTCTCCCATTGCTCTGACAATCATCATGATAAGTCATATGTCAGTAATTATAACATCAGGTTGTCACAATGTTAGAACTCTACCTTTCTGGGAGATAGAAACAAGTTTTGTTTACATGGCAGCAATCAGCAATATGAGCAAACACAGGTCTCCTAAAGGGCAGGCCACTCTCCGAAAAACATTCCCTTTAGACACAGAATCCAGACAACTATCCTTTCTCAGAGATGTCCTCCCCCATTTCTACAGGGAACTGGGTACAGATGACCTCTATCAATCTTAGGAAGTGAAACATAGTGTCTTTCTTGGCTTTACTGAGCAAAGACTTGAGCTCCAGACAGTAAGAACCTCTCTGT